TTACTCTTGGGAATGACAAATGCAAGTAAACAAAGATCATGTTATTCTATGAATAGATATGGTGTCATCCAAAATCTTGATATGAGCAAAATTAATAATTAGAATCTATTGAAGATGTAGATTTGCACATTAAATAACAATTGAAAAATCAATATCTTCTATAATTTTCTTTAAAAACTTTCATGATTAAAATGCATTATTTATTTCAGTTGATGATGCGTACCTGTTCAAAATTTGAGATCACATGAAGAAAACAATCCCTTCTTTTCACAGCACCATATGCCAAGGGTTCATAAGGAGAGCAGTGTATCAGAAGCCCTTGGCTAGCAAAGATGAGAAGAGTAGCGCATCAGAAACCCTTGGCTAGCGAAGATGAGAAGAGTAGCGTATCAGAAGCCCTTGGCTAGCGAAGATGCAGCTACCCAGACCCTAACAATCATGTCCTTCGACACAAAAACGCAGAGTAAAGTGATATTCTCTGTGAGTTGAACTCAACTCAAAAGCAAACTTTTTATTCATTTCAAATCTTAATAATTTACTTAAAGGAACCCGAGTAGGGGGGTATAAAAAACAAAACAACTTTATGCTTTTCATCCTCAATACTGTATATAAAGTATTTTCTTTGGGTTGTCTTTGCAAGGAAATTTTGCTGTTTTGCTTTCTGCCAATCAATACGAAAGTCTTGTAGAAGTCAGAGGTGTAAACCGACAATCATGCTCATTGGAGGGGGTTAAACATGTAAACATTAGATGGAAACCATGAAAATAGAACCTAAGAAAAGTTATATACATAACACAAAAAATATTAAATGTAAAAAAATTACTGAATTAAAACAAACGCACTATTTCTTGCATTGTCAGATACCCACAGGTGATATTGATAACCTAGCACCCGTGGGTAAATTTAACAAGCTAATTCAGAGAATTTGTGTCCCCCGCTTAGGGGAAAGTAAACCATGCGCAGTTGGGGGGGGGGTCGGATCCCCTTGACTAAATTTGTAGAATTATTAAATGTATACATGTATAATGAAGCAAATAAAATATGCCAATATGGATATAAAGGTTTGATTGCTTATTGCAGCCCGGAGGACCGGGCTGCTCTATACATATAAGTTTAATTGTTAGTGTATGGGGATTGGGGTGGGAGTAGTTATTTAGAATTAAAGGTTTTCTAAACATTGAAAAGATTGTTAATCAGAATGTTCTTTCCATTTATAAATTACGAGATACATGATATATTTACTTCCATAAAGTGAATCTGTAAAAATATATACGTTTTTCATATTTGATATATAAAGTTGCTTATCATTTACTATCGAAAAACGACAGGTCCCTTTTATGAGAACATCGAATTTTACTTCTCGGATAAAAACGTACTCTGCACAGTTCGTGTTTTATATTCTAAAATTGAAAATAAATACATTTTTAAATATACATGTAGGTAATGCGTGTGTCTAACTTCATTTTATATTTTATGCAGCCAACATTAACTAGAGGAATTGATCAAGTTTTAAATGGTATCATTTTTGATTGATTTTTATCCGACTACAAGTTTTCAAAATATTCGCGACTATCGTCTCCATCCATTAGACGCATGCCTTTTCACACATATCGAAGGGTTTGATGATCAAGACTCATTTTCATTGTTTACTTTACATATTTCCCGGGCGACAATTGATGGTTACATCAATGTTTTCTTGTTCTTTATTATGTGTATAGAAGATTCTTTTTATAGGGAATATTTATCACACTGTACAGTAATGATGATTTTATAAGTTTGTACAAGCCAGACCTCATAATTTTTTTCATTTCACATGAATACTATCATTTAGTAAAAAAAAAAAGTATTTCGAAAAAAAAGGTAGATCGCCCGGGATGCAAACCCGGGCCCTCTCACATGTGAAGTGAGAGACATACCACTAGACCACGGAGGCGCTTTTCACTAGAGAAAATTATATGCAAAGATGAAGTCACATACATGTATATATTCACGTTTGATATTGTCAAAATTTTACACAATGCATGATATCTAATTTAACCTTTATTAAACAGTTCTAATAGATGTAATAAGAATATAAAGTCTACTGAGAACCTGTTTTATACGTGATAACTCTCCTCATGCCCCTGTGCTAAAAATACCGACATGTAATACAATAAATACTAATAAAACAAACGGGACGGGACACTTTGAGAGGGGTGAGAGAGGTCCTAGGGAGTTTTGGTATAAAATTACATTGCAAAAGCTCAAAATCTTCTTGAAATATCGCCAGGAAATGATAGTGTTTCAAACAGACAGAATGTATAAATTTACGATCTTGAACTTTGACCTTTTGACCTCAAAATCAATAGCGGTCTTCCTTCGGCCACAGGGAGTTGTTAAGTAAAATTTCATTGCAAAGAGTTCTTGAGAAATCGCGCGGAAACAAAAGTGTTATAAAAGACAGAATTTGCGAATTTATTACCTTAACCTTTGACCTTTTGACCTCAAAATCAAAAGGTTCTTCTTTAGTCCATAGGGAGTTGATATGCAAAATTTCATTGCGAAAGCTCAAAGGGTTCTCGAGATATCGTGTGGAAACGAAAGTGTTACAGACAGACAGAAAGACGGACGGATGGATAGACGGATGGACGGACAAATCCAAATTAATATCCTTCACTTTTCAAGCGGGGGACAAAAAAATATAGATGTTTATTATGCAAATTCATCAATTATAGACAACCAACCAGTAAGAGAGCTGGAACTCTTCAATTTTGAAAATACATTCATAAGTTTCCTTTTCATGGTGATATTATGATTCCTTTAAAACATGAAAATTTTGTTTTAAAACGATAAAAGACACATTTTACAATTTGTCAGTGGCATTAAATACCATTAAAAGCTTATACAGGAGTACGTTTCTCAAACTGCTAAATGCACTGTCAAGTGGATTCATTTGCAATCAATGTTCACGTGTTAAGGAAAAAGAGTTTGACATTTCCAAACATTATCATATATGCATACCTGTGATTCTTTGATGTGCCATCACGATGCTGCATATGCAGCAGCCAATCAAAAAACCCACGCATACTAATTGCATACGATGATATTATGTTGAGTTTGCCCATGGGTGATGAGTATATTACGTGATCACCCATGGGTATCTAATGATATATATCCTGTGCGACTGTGACTAACACTTTCATTGATATACGCGAGCCAGCAATAGAGGAATATACAAGTCAATGGTAGAGAATGTGGTTGGCTCAAAAGCTCTCTCGTGGTCCATCCTACTTTTTCCGACTAGTGAGCTACAGATCTGCACCTACTCTGCAGCTATACTTGATGTCTGTTGTGAATCTGTCATGAGAGCCACGAAAGAAGGACTTCCATTCAAGGAATATTAATTAGATAAAACTTACAAATTACTGTTACTAAAAGGATTGCAAATCTTATTTGGTCCATTTGCACAACGCCAGGGGTCCTGGGTCAACACATTGTCCTACAGCAACGTGTTGACTCAGGACCCCTGACACTGCAAGGATGTATTGGGTCATGTGAGTAATGTTTACAGTTTCGAACAAGACTAAATTACTCACTAAATGAGTTCACTTTTAACAAGAGTTCACGTACTTCAGTGCAATCTGTTTCAAATCACTTACAATGAACTAAACTGTTTAACGGGACACCATCTCAGTGACAAACATGCACAATAACAAAATACAAAATATGTAAATAGTCTAGCCTACTTGGCTTACCGGAAAATGATGTCAGCCGGATTCGGATCGAAAGTTCAAACTGAAATCATAGTCACAAAAATGTTTTATATAAGAAAATAACTCGGTAGTAAGGTAATAATCAATGTCTTATAAATATTAGTAAGCAATAATTTTCAAAAAAATAAAGCATAACATGCTGATAAAGAAAGAAACAAGTTGAATCTCATTCTAATTACGGCTGATATTTTTTTCTTCTTTATCCGGAACAAAAACGTTGTCGTTCGAATAATATGTTTTTCAAGCATATTAGAAACGTTGATTGCCGTCAAATTTTCCCGAATTTACCCATTGTCTTTATTTTCAGATGCAGTAAACGACATAATGTCGTCGTAATGATAGCAGGTAACTGAACACTTATGTTGTTTAAACCTATTTGCATATATACCTTAACCAATCCTGTTACAATAACTTGTCAGCAGCGCTTCAGTTTACTCCAACCAGCATACTGAACAGGTCCAGCACAATCTCTTGATTAAGCTATATAGCTTTAAAAAGCTATATAGCTTTAAAAAGCTATATAGCTTTATTAAGCTATTCAAAATAGCTTGATAAAGCTATTTATATGCAGTTTTTCACAAAAAAGTTTTTTGAAAGAAATAAACAAAAAGTCTCAAGTATTTGACTATTCATATATGTATTGGTATTCTATTATTTATTTTTTTTCTCTTCATATTTTATTAATATGTTGATGGTGCGACCGTTAGAGCGAGCGCAAACTCTTCTATTGTTTTAATTTAGATTGGGCTCGTCAAACCGCACGTGACATTTGGTGCGTCTAGACTCTAAGAAAAAGCCTGAACAGTGCTGAAAGTTAATGAAGAACGTTTCGTTTTCTATTTATCTTCAATATATATCCATTAAATCAAGGCGGGTAAACTTTTTGTTGAACATTTGTTGTTATTCTCGCGAGAACGTAGCTAAAACAAGTGATGCATTGTGGGTCGAAATTACGGCATCAAAAAATTCTATCGAATGAATGTGCAGTAGTCCGAATTTTCTCTTCGCACAGGCGTTGCTTTAAGAGCTCACAGTGACGAGCGTCGCTTCGCGACGCTCGCTGCGCTCGCTATTATTATATTATATGTAATGTAACAGAGACAAGTTTGTGCCTCTGCTGAGGATCGAACCCGGAACCTCTGGCTTACCAGTCCAGTGCTCTACCGATTGAGCTAAAGGGTTAACCCACTAGCCCAAGCTAGTAGGATGCCGTTAATCTAACACTACCACATTGTCCCCCTCCAGAGAATGAGATGTCCTCATCTCTTTTGGAGTGCTGACGCCTGTGGGGTGAAGTTCTGGGGGCAATCACTCTCACCCGCCAGAGAACATCCGGGTCCCAACGTGGGCGCCAAATTTAACAGAGACAAGTTTGTGCCTCTGCTGAGGATCGAACCCGGGACCTCTGGCTTACCAGTCCAGTGCTCTACCGATTGAGCTAAAGGGTTAACCCACTAGCCCAAGCTAGTAGGATGCCGTTAATCTAACACTACCACATGTAATGCTAATATTTCATTGTGAACTACTCTGTATATCAGTATTTCAAATCTGAGAACTTTTACAAGTGAGGATCATGTCAATTTTGCATTGTTATAATAATGATTATATTGTTTGTCTCTTAATTGTATATGCCCCCAGAGAGCCCTTGATTGGTGAATAAATAAATATATACTATGTACTATGGACTATCAAAAATACAACCTAAATCATAGAAAGTTCTTACATTGCTGCTGTTGAATACTTTAAGCAAAATATGAATTTCCATTGTTTGAGTAACTATGTGTGCGGTGAGGCGTGTATTGTATTCTATTATTTATTTTTTTTCTCTTCATATTTTATTATTATTATATTATATGGTAAGTATGATTGCTTCTCATTGTGCTGAACTGTTGCTAATCAATTATCCTGTTGGCCATAACTGGCCTCCTTTATAATTTCATTCAAGAAATAACTGTGTGGTCACTCATCAATAGCCCCAAAACTTTTAAAACTTTGAGAACAAAGTCTCTCAAGGAGACGCAATTTAGTGAGTGATTTTTACATGCATTGTATTTAGAAGAGAACAAAGTTTAATATTTCCACTGCACCTAGGTGCGACTTTTTGCACATGTTGAAAAAATAACACATTTGAGAAAAAAGTCTGAGAAAATAGCTTAATCAAGCTATTCTGAATAGCTTAATAAGTAAGTAAGTAAGTAAGTAAATTTTATTTAAAGTCGGCATTGTATACATACATAACAATAAACATGAGCTCTGTAGAGCTCTTAAACCGACTATCACAGTTAAAATATCACAGAAAGATGTTTACACATAAATTATCATGCAAAAACACATGTACATATATACACATACAAAAGTTATGACAGATAAGATGAATTTTAAGAATTTTAACAAATTTTAAGAATTTATAGTTTCTTTAGAATAAGTTAAAGAAAAATAGACAACTTGAAAAGCAATATCATTGCATTAAGAGAAACAAAAATAAATATAATGTGAGTATTATAAATAAATAAATAAAAGTCATATGATAGTACATGTAATAAAATTAAGCACTAAGTTTAATTCATGAATTCAGATAAAAATAACTAATTGTATTATTAATAATATTAAAAATAAATACATAAATAAAACCGATAATTGAATAAATTTGAAAGTTTAGGAAATTTAAAATTCACACAGACATAGCTAAACCAAATTGAGAACGAAGGAAAGAAAAAAAATAAAAATAAATAATAATAATAATAATTTTAAAGTAATTTATGTTCCTCATCAATACACATCCTGCCTAGTGATTGGGTCAGTCCCTACCTACATAGGCAAGATATGCATATTGTGAGGTTAAAGGAAAAAAAAAAACACTAGAAAACAATGAAATAAAATGAGATAGGTGATATCATTAGAGAAAATGAAAGATTTCAAAAATAAATGATTTCAAAAATAAATAAAGCTATATAGCTAAATCAAGCTATATAGCTTAATCAAGAGATTGTGCTGGACCTGCTGAATGTTTCACAAATGAACATGCTGACAGCCTCATTCACTCTAGAAGCTTGTAAATAACTTTTTGCATACATACCAAAGTAATACTCAGAGAATGAAAGAAATTATTGTTTAAAAACATTTTAAAGCTTTTAACAGTTGTATAAAATAAATGTAAGAAAATGATATACATTCAATTGTACTTCTTTCTTTTTCATACCATGATATTTTTTAAGTCAGAATCACATGGACTCGAGACAATCTTAGCAAAATCGGGTATATAGTATAATAGGGGAGAAGGGACCTAACGAGCCGCCATTAATTCCTCAGTGTCTCGCTTCAAACTCTAAAAACTTCGATTTTTATTAAAAAAAACATATGAAAAAATTTTGCCAGTCGACAGGCAGAATGTTGTCTTTAGTGTCATAAATTTATCATTTACCTTACTTCATTAAACTTAGAAAAAAAATATGCAAACTTCCGAGAATTGGGTTGCCATCGTTAAACCAACACCATCTTTTTCATGCAATTTTTGTGCATTACCTGAATTTTTCCACACTTGTCATCTGTTGCACTCTATCTTACAGCAACATTTTAAAAATATAACTGCTTTTGGTCATCCTCACAATATTTTAGGGACTGTTGATCGTCCATCTCGAGTGACAAGCTCCATTTTCACCTTCGGTTAGCCTCAGAGTTCAACCATTATAAAATGCATTTTATCATAACTTTTCTGGAAAACTTTTCTTGCAAAAATTAGATTTTTAAAATTTATGTTATTGACTTGGCTATAAGCTTAACTTATTCCCTTTACACATTACCATCACACTACTTGGATCCGAGCTTCAAATTTCTAACATGCATCAAATTTAAAAGTGAAAAAGGTGTTGACCATACCCGGGTAAATGTTTTTTTTTTGTTATGGTATTTTCTGTCAAAGTAAGATGTATACTAGTATATTTAATATTTTTTTAATGTAGATATGCTATGGCCTCTGAATCCAACAAAGATAAAGAAAACCAAGACATAGAAAATGAAAGTACACCTGTCATTTCAACTGAGGAAGACCAAACAACACTAAAAGACACTGTTACAGAGAAAAACTATAAAGAAAGTTCCGGTGACAAAGATCAGGTCACACCAGGTTACCCCCTGCAGCCAAAACCTCCTGTAGTCCGGTTCTCATCTCACAAGGGGGATAACTGTGAGCAGGTGGAAGTAATTGAATACACAGACACCGAGGTAATGGACCCAGATTCATCAGCTGATTCCAGTTTATGCGTGGCTACAGCGGGGCCACATATAGCTCTCATGACTGTACTTTTAATCCCGGTTGCCTTTTTCCCATCATTAACGGTGGCCTTTTACTATGGTGCCTGGACATGGTACAACTTGTACATTTATTATAGTGAAGAGAGAACAGTTTGTCATAAGATATTCATCTGTCCTATCCTCATCATTACCTTCCCTCTAACTGTTGGATTGAGTTCCTTAGGAATAGCGCTATTTGCCGCATTTATTCAGATCTCTTGGTCTTTTTTTAGGTGGAAGATAGAGTTTTTAGATTTTGAGAAAGGTTTTTATGGATGGTTGTGTTGTAAGATAGGATTGCCCATGTGTTCTCCTTATGAGGTTTTAGAATACACAGATGATTCAGAACTTCAACCAATGAGAGCATGATTTTATTATTTTTACACTTAGGGACATGTTTACAGAAACTCAATCTTTATTTAAATTTGATATCCCAGTGTTTTAGAATTAAGAATTAGATCTAGATTAGAGAGTTTCATTAAGATTTATTTTTCTGTCCGTCAAAGAAGACAAAAGCATGTGTCAATTATACCTTTTTATGTCTATTTATTAGGTTAGTGATTTTATTGAATTAATTTGCCTTTTCAAGAAAAAATACTTATATTATTATTTTGTTAATGATCTCTTATTGTTGTGTATTTGTGTGTCACATGGTACCATGACTTATATGATGCTGCAGATCATCAGTGGAAATCACATTCTTTATGATCAATTTGATTTCCTCTGTAATATTGGAAGATAATTTTTTATTTTTTGTTATTTTTTTTTTTTCTGTGGTTGTCTTTCACATGCTCATATTTTCTATAATATGTTTATAAATGTAGGTTGTATACATATTACATTATTTGTAATAATTCATTCTCCACTTAACAGGCACTACATTGTTCAGTTTTTATGTCTGTCCATTTTATTTTAATTTCTCCTTGGGTTCATCCACCATATGTCCACCAGTACAGTTTCATTTATGATGTGCATTGTCATTGTCAAAGTCTTTGTGCAAATTATATGACAAAAGTCTAAAATTCTGTTGTTCAGTTATCATTTTTACTCATCTTTTTGAAGCTTGTACATGTAATTCTGGTTATGAAAAATTCAAAGATCAAAATATATGTATCTTATTGTACCCCCGGCTTGAAAAGCGGGAGGGTATATAGTAATCAGGATGTCCGTCTGTCTGTTACGCTTTGGGGTACCCATCTCTTATCTGCAACTACTCTCATGCCACTGAAAGGAATTTAATGAGATTTTCACAGAATCTTTGTTATATAGTGCCATTGTGCACCTTCTATTTTATTTTTTGATTGGACACACATTTTTGGTTTTCTAGAGTAAAACATTGACACTGCCATTTTTTTTGTGTAATGTTGAAGGATGTCCATCTCTTATCCACAACTCCTCCTATACCACTGAATAAAATTTAATGATACTTTCACATACTATTAATGATACTTTCACATACTTTATTACATAATGCCATTGTGACCTCCTATTTTACTTTTTGATCTGACACTTATTTCGGGTCTCCAATAGCAAAACAGGGACTTTGTCATTATAATCATATGGGAAGCGGGGGTATCATTTAGTGAGCTCGTTGCCCACAGTACCTCTAGTTGAAAGTTATATTAAATGTCTGGTAATATGCATTTTGTAAATGCTACATGTAATATCAAGCTGTTGATAGTATTTGAAATACCTTCTTTTCGGAAATCAGTGTTTCTTGTGTAGATATGAAAATATTCTTTTTTTAGCATATTGTTACATCATCCACTGTATGAACAAGCAACTCTCTTGAGCAATTACATATACATAGTTTCATTCTAAACATTTCTTGTTTCTCATGAACATAGCTATGAATCAATAATTTTCATCACAATAATAAATATATTTATAAACAGGTGAAATGTGCTTTAATTTACAGATGGTGTCCATAAGCATTTATTCTTCTTTTACCCGGTACTCATTGTGAACTAAGTTTGGGGCCAATAATAACTTTTTTTAAATGGAAATATACATGAAAAATATTCTTTTAAATTTTTTCAGATAATATAGCTACTTTTGTCAGGATACTGGTTGATCTGTTTATGACTAACTACATTTTCTAGTTTATATTCATACACTTATTGTATTGGTGGAAATTCAAAGAAATAATAATACACATGTATAAGTATTATTAAAACACACATGATAGTCTGCAGCCATGTTTTGCTGTAAATTTCAGAAATTTCAAACAAAGTATAACATGTATAAGTTGGAAAAAATATTTGCACCAAGTGCAGTTGTATTAGTGCTCATTTTTGTTTATTCAAGTTAGCAGTAATTAATAAAAGAACTGTTTAGTTGACTGTTAACAAAATGTATTTTTATAAATACTAACATTTGAATGTTTTGGTAAACTTCTTTATGCTTGAGGCTCTAAATCATTAAAAATAAAATGTTTATCTAACTCTAGCGAATTTGTTATTTTAATTTTAGATATGTAATTGAAGAAATTTTATTTCCTTAAAATAAGAGATATATTTCTACAAAGCCACATCTTGCTTCACAATGTTTTATCAGTGGATAATTTAGTGAGGCTGAATGTGCAGTCTTCGGGGGATTCTCCAATTGAGGAGGGAGTCTTCAAATGTTCATTTGGGAAGAGGCACTTAAAGAAGAAAGTACGGTTTGAGCTTTATTGCGCCCAAAAAATTTAATGTTCTTAAAAAGTTATGAAATTGGCTTTAACAGTAGTTGAGTTGATGAATATGATAAATCAATAAAGAATATGGCAAGGAGAAGGACCTTTCTTGAAATATGACGTCATTAATTTGGTACGTTTTTTAAGTTAAATGCAGAAAAGCCTCAAAATGACTCGTTTCTGTGCTAATTTTCCTTTAGAAACTAGTGTCTGCCACCGTCGCCCACTTTAATTTTTTAATATATTATGTTTTATGCTATGAAAAATCACATATCTCAAAATGTTTCTGGGCGACGGTGGCAGAGTATGTTTTCTGAAAGAAAATTCCACTGAAAATTGATGTATTCTGCAACTTTTTAAGAGGCTGTCCACCGAAAAACCAGGCAATAGGTGGCACATCGCATGTCATGGATTTTTATTATTTTTTGCATGTAGACTCATTTAAGCAAGTGTTAATACATGAGAACATCAAAAATTTTTTTAGTGGTTCTCTAGTCCTATTTTTGGTAAATGTCTAATTTTAAGTGCAAAAAGGTCAACATGAGGGTAAAAAAAAACACTACGTTTTTATTTTGTTTTATTTGTAACAAATACTTAAAAGCTGGGTGTATTAATCAATATTATCTATAGCATAGACTCCTATCTTTTATTTCTTAATAAATAAGACTCCAAATTATATTTCTTTAGAAAAAAATTATGTGGTCCAAACTTGAGTTTAGCAAGTCACTTTTTGAATTCAGTATCCGATTTTTGATACGTTATAAAAGCCAATACATTACTATGACAAAATTTTTTCCTCATGTTAATATGAATACAAAGTACAAACTTTTGAGTCACTTCATAAAATTGGTGGGAACAAGTATATTGAAGAAAATAAGTATGGAATGCAACTGTCAGCTGCTTACTGCCAACTGCCTCACATATTTGAATAAATTTTATTTTTATATTGATACTTATGTAAATTTAAAAAAAAAGTCGCGGATCTATAGGACATTTTTTCCAAGAGGGTCACACTGGTAAAAAAAAGTCCAACCCAGAAATTTCTTGACAAGAAAAAAGTACATGTACGTAAAGTCCTTTCCTAAATGTGAAAATTTATTTCGGCTGGGGAGAGGGGGTTCTTATGCGTCATACCTTCATGTGTATGACATTTTTTCATACCAACTTAACACGAATCCACATTTTAGGTTGGGGAGGTAGGGGTCTAAGGTCTAAGGTCCCTTTTAGCTGATTTATTTTATACAAAATAACTTTTAGTTGGTTAAGTTTCTGCATTAAATAACTTTACAAATTTCAGAGGGGTGTTCCGGACCCCTTTTTTTCTAGATCTATGCATGTAAAACATATTTTATTTGTACAAACAAAGAAATATTATAAATGTTTGATTGGCGTTTTCTAAGTGGAGGGTCCAAGGTCAGTTATACCGCTAGTTCGTTTAGTCTATTTAACGTATGACTGAACAAATTTTAAATGCCCCCCCCCCCCCGATCTATGCATCTTTAATTTGAGGAAATTTTTAACTATAGAATATATGGAAAAAGCAAATTTATTTTCAAAACATCTTTCTCTGCACAACGACAAATATTTATTATTATTATTTTTCTGAATTGTTCAAACTATCTGATTGGCTCAAACTGGATCACATGATCAGGTATAAAAACTGTTACAGACTCGACGTTTCTATTTTAAAAATTTATAAACCTGCTGTTTCTAAATTTGGAAACGTTCTTCTGTGAAGCAACAATAGTGCTGACGTCACAATAGTCATTATAGACTTGATGTTTCTAAAAACAGTTACTGCAGCTGGTTTTCATTACTGTGACGTCATAATGCAATGACATAACAATGCCTTGAATTAGAAGGTACGGATTATAAGAAAGAAAGATTTAAAGACATTTCTTATTAACTGATAAAAAATAATAAAACAATTATAGCCTTTTGATTCGGTACAATCCCTCGATATATAGACCTTAGAGAAAGCATATCAACCTCGCACTTCGTGCTCGGTCGATATGCTTTCTCTAAGGTCTATATATCGAGGGATTGACCTCATCAAAAGGCTATAATTGTATATTATTATTCTCTCTTCAAAGGTTTCGTTGTCTCCGGGGGAGGGGGGCTTCTTTAAATATTAAAAGCAGAAAATAGTCATTCATTACCTATTTCAAATAGGAAAACAAACAAATTTAAAAAAAATAACAATGTACTTTATCAACCGCATATATTGAATGATACATAAGATAAAACATATTGGTCATTTTATTCAATGTACTTTATCAACCGCATATATTGAATATTACATTAGAAAAAACATATTGGTCACTTTATTCGATTCAATTTTACCACGGTGACCCCCTTGGAAAAATGTCCTGGATCCGTGCCTTTTTTCCCCAATTTTGTGAAAATTCATATAAATATCAATACAAATATAAAATTTATTCAAATATGTGTGGCAGTTGGCAGTAAGCAGCTGACAGTTTGCAGTCAGCAGTTGGCTGTCGTATATGGCATTCCATAAATAAGAGGATTCAAATTCACCTACTAGCTATGATTTTTCCCAAATTAAACCTATCCCGATCGGAATTATATAAAGAAGAAAATACTTTAATTGTATTGTTAAATTTGGCTCTTTTGTTGTTATATAGTTCAAAATTTACTTTATTTATTTTTATCCATGTCTTATAGGTGGCAG